GCATACAAGCCCCCAAATAATTATTCAAAATAATATCCATGAGCATTATTTAAAATTGTTTTCAAAACAGAAATGGAAGAAGCACGAACCACTCCTTCTTCCTTTGATCTTCCCGAAGCAACGGGCGGTGGCAGCAACCTTCAAGTTCTACCTGAAATTGTGAGGTGACCTCCCCTGTGAAGGGAAGGTCAGTACTTGGAAGCATTTGACAAGTACAATGACAACTCTACTAAGTATAATCAATGTTTAAATTTCTAAGACCCTCAATCTAGGGTAATATATATATATATATATATATATATATATATATATATATATATATATAGGCCATAACCTCCCGGTTACCCCTTTTTAAAATAACATACTTACTTTATATAAAGTCAAGTAGTCGGCTCGTGGGCCCACATTCATTTAGAATTCACCATTTTAATTCCCCGTGACTACGAGTCACGACCACCCCGTAGGGTTCCCTCGAGTCCCGATTGTATAGTAAGGGCTCGGCCCAACTACATTTCTGTACAACCCTTCAATCAATTTATCACATTAAAATTTTATGGCAAGGGCTCGGCCAAACTACGTTTCCATACAACCCATAACTTCGTGGCAAGGGCCCGGCTCAACTACGTTTCCATGAAGATCACAAATACATGGCAAGGGTTCGGCCCAATTACATTTCCATGCTAATCACATTACATGACAAGGGCTCGGCCCAACTACATTTCCTTGCGATCCTAGAGTCCGACTCTAATTCATCTTCATAGTCCAATTCCCAAGCAAATCCTATGCCTAGAATCAATCCACTCGGGTAGCCTTCAGGCTTACTCCTAACTCGACATAGTGTTCATACAATTCAACCTTAAAGTATCTCTTAAGACTACTTAAGGCGTATTTATTCACAATCCTATCTCTTAGGATTAATTTCATTATATTATTCTCCCGACTAGTATTTTAATACTAGTTGGTTAATCTTAGAACATACCAAGTTCTTAATTCACAATTGACATTTCATTTCGATTGATTTTTCAATCCAAATATAATTTGATCCCAATATCAAAAATATCACTTTTATTCATTCATTAATTTCATACATGAAGTAAAAGTATATTTTATCACAATATTTTTATAGTTAATTCCATTACCATGTCATTCCTTTCATATCACATAATCATACACAATTCATTCTAAATTTGTATATCATGCTTCACTTACTCATATCAATAGTATTTTCATTTAGGCATTATTAATCATTAATAATCCATGAAAATCACTTTTAATACCTTATGTAATCTTATGAAATTAACTCACTAATTATATGCAATATAGTCAGCCATCCTCACCTTATGGAGTGCTGAAATAGTTGCCCTTGTTAAGCCCTTCGATAAATCCCCGTTCTAAATCGATAGGAAGATAAAACTGGACTGCCTGGACAAAAGCCGGGCGGCTTTCACCAAAGCCGGGCGGTGTTCGTCCCTCTGCAATTTCGAGCAGCTCCTTTTAAGTGGCGGTTTCCGGCGATTTCGACTCCTATCGATTCACCAACTATACTAAGTTAATTATCACCACTTTGTATCAATATTCTACACTTTTAAACGTGTAGAACTTGTGGTTTAATCCACCATATGATCTCTAAAAAAAATCATACCCCAAAGGACTAGTTAAAAGAATAATCATGGAGTTCTTACCTTGACTCAAGCTTCACTCCTCGGATTTTCTAGCCCTTTTCTTCCTCTGAGGTTGATGTTTGTGAGAGTTATCCTAGAGCTCTCTCTCCCTCTTGTTTGGCCGAGTGGTTGCAAAGGATAGAGGAAATATCTCAATGCAATCAATCCCAAAAATGATAGAGGATGGGGTCATTGGTGTATTTTCTTGTCTTTAGGAGGCTTCCTCCTCTTTAGGTCCTCACAACTCATCTCCTCTTGTCCCCTTCCAGCTTCCAATTGATCAATTAGAGCACAAAAAACGTGGGGTGGCCCCCACTCGTGTGGGAGGTCATCCCATTATGCCCCGGTGTGTACAATCGGCCCCGAAAGTTGTATTTCTCGGACTGTTTAAGTTATATTTTATTTTATCGGGACAAATAAAATATATCACACGTTCCTAATAGTTATAGGCCTTTAGAATAGATGTACATTCCCCAATATTAATATGGGAGTCTCCGAAATTCATTTCGGGCTGTTATTCGCTAAATTACCGATACCGGTAATTGGGCCTCGTTTGACCCACCGGTCAACTCCATGCCTTTCCTATGGCCCAAATAAAATATCCACCACCATATAGATGTCATCTAGACCAAGATGAATATAATATGTGGTTCTGGAATTATCAGGCGATCCCCGTTCCCGCCGTGGGCCCCACATGCAATTTACTATTCACGTAAAAGAAATAATAAAATTTAACAATTACATAATTTACTAAAAGTAAACATGTTTGGGGACGGTGTCACACTAGACTTGCCTTTATATTCCGAGATAGAGGCCACTACGTTAAAATCTCCCCCCAGCAGCCAAGTCGAGCTATCATATTGGGCGAAAGCCTGCATCCCTGCCCAAAGTCTTGCTCTATCATTCCTGGTATGAAGTCCGTAGACTGGTGAGAAGGTAAAGGAGCAGTTTTTAGGCATATAAGTTACTTTCATAATCAAAAACTGATCCATCTCCCGAATAGAAACGACATCAAAAGAGTTAGTATTCCACATCACCCATATTTTGTTGGTAGAGGCCATAAATAACTTGAAGAAACCCAAACGATGCGTAAACAAATCACCCTTATTTTGATTAACTAATGGTTCAATGATAGTAATTAAATCCACAACGTTGTGCCTAGCAATTTCACGTAACCTCGGGCACGAGGATTCGAGGCCATGCAGATTCCATGTTAGAATCTTCATAAAGAAATATTCGAGGAAGAACCCGATGTGATCCTCTTGGCCGCTAACCTAGTAGTGACCGAAAGAGTAGCCTCCATGATTTTCCTTCTTGAAACAACTCCCAGAGCATCTGTCTATTGATTAACAATCTGTCTATTGATTAACAATCAAACTTACCTTCTTACTCAATTCCTCACAAACCTTGTGCCAGGAGTTCCTTGTAATATCCTCCACTATAATCTGCTCCCCATCCGACACAAAACCTTCATTTTCCACTACCACCGCATCCTCTCCATGTTTATTGCAATCTTCTTCAAATGAGATTAGTTTTGTGACATCAGTAGCATGAATACATCCATTCCCCTCCACCTCCTGTGATTGATTTGTACCAATGGTCCCTTCCACAGTTTTTTCCAACGAAGCCTCAATCTCCACTTCTACCTCCTGTGATTGATCTATACCATTGTCTCCCTCCAAAGTCTTCTCCAAAGGGGCCTCAAACTCCACCGTATCTCTGAACTCCCAGCACCATATTGTTCTCAATAGTTGAAACCTCGTGTTCTTTATTCGAGGTTTCAGAAACACCCAGAACCTCTTCACCAACCGGTTGAATTGACGGTTCTGTGGAAACGATTGCTTTCACAGCCTGATCATTAATTTTGGATGACTCAGCTCTATCTCCCTCGGCAACAACTTTTTCATTTCCTTTGTTTTTGCGGGAGACCTGCACCCATTTTTCATGCAAATGATTAGCTACTGGTAACACTTCCTGGTAACACTTCCTTCTAACTTCCTTGCCCCTTATTACCCAAATCTCCTCCTGCTTTGATCCCTTTTGGCTTGGGAATCCCACACTCTTCTTTGGTATGCCCCAGTCTACAACATTTAGCACAATATTTAGGCAAATCCTCGTATGTTACCGATTGTATTAGTTCCTAAGAACCATTGACAATAAGGACTTTGGAGGGTATCTCTTACATCAAATCCACTTCCACACACACTTTTGCTGTAGACGGCCTTGAAAGATTAGTCGTTGCCGTATCAACTTTTAATGGCTTACCAATCATTCCGGCGATTGAAAAGAGTGCTCTCTTGTCTTGCAAATGAAGAGGTAGCCCATCAAAAGTGATCCAAACCGGTACAATAGGTGATTCAACATCAGGCCGGAAATCCGGTGTTCACCGCGTAACCCTCATCTTGAACCCCCTAATGATCCACGTTTGTCGAAGCCAGCACCTCTGAAAGTCATCCTCCGCGCCAAATTTGATTAATATGTGTCGTTGATCCAATAATCCCAGGGAAAGCGAACCAGCAAAACCAATTTTCTCAAACTCTTTTCTGATCAAAGCCATAGATGGTCTGCCCCGCACAAAAGATCCTACCAGCGCAAACTTATGTTGAGATGCCAAATCGGAAATCTCCTGCTCCGTAAACTTGACCGCTGGCATACCTTTGTGTCGAAATAGAATTTTTAAAGGGATCTCTTTGTTAGCTGCCAGAACCTCTGCGAAAGAACGAGATGATGCCCCTGACCCGGCGACCAGGGCCACCCAAACTGGTGTCGGAACCATGCACGATCGCCGTGACTTCTCTCTCTAGGGTTTTCCCTCCCTACGGCTGTTATATAAATAAAACTGTTTCTTGCACTATTTCTATAAAAGAATCACCCGTGAATGTTTCCCTCCTGTAGACTTGGACCCAGTCCGATCCCGCACAGTAGCAGAAACGGGTCCGACCTGTTCCGGGACCAGCATTCAAATTCATCTAACCGAAATTGTAACTTTTCATAACCGAAAACCGAACCGGACACCATGCCCACTGAAGGTCAAAGTCACTGGAACCGAAGTCACTAGAGTTAGGACTAAAGTAGTTTTCCTTTAGTATTATTTTTCACAAAACTTGAGATTCAGTACCAAATGGAGTGTATCTAAACCAGTCACGGGATATAAGTTACAACCTGTCAGCCTCTACACACAACTACTTTATGAAAATCAAAGAGAAGTATTTATACTTATACATATAGAAACTTTTGAAGTCACATTTCAAATTCATTTAGGTTTTTCACTTGCCCATTAGAGCTTTCAAGCTCCTCCACATGTTAGCTCTTCAATTGTACTCATGATAAAACACTATGGGGTGTAACCGTGGAGATATGAAATTGAAGGAATGTACAGATAGAACGTTGAAAGATACATTGTCCGCCTTTTCTGAAACAATGTCAACACATAAATCCAAAAGGTTGAATAAAACCTGGCTATTTTCGACCAACCAAGAACAGATCTATAAAGAAAGACAAATGTCAGTAATGATGATTTGTATCAGACCTAGGGGGGACAGCATTTACAAAGCTACAAACTCATAGTTAGAAGAAAAAAGTATATTTAATTTCCTCTCCTGTGAATCTCTTCGGCAAGACACCGATCAACTAAGGTTTGACCATCAGCAGAGGTATAGCTATTTAGTACACTATACAGTGCCTGTAGTTCTTCAGAGTTAGCCTTCTTAAGCAAACCGTTGAGTATAGTATTGTATTTACCAGCTTCCAGATCATCAGAACCCTCTGGTTTGGGGTTATTTAATTTGCTTCCAGATGAAGAACACTGGGGAAACTGCATAAGCGGTCTCGATTTCCAATACTCCACGCAAACTCTGCTTTGGTCCATAGCCTGAATTGCCTACAGAGGAAAAACAAGCAAACATACTCCCATGTTTGATTATGGGCAAAAAAAGGAAAGTAACACACGCAGAGAGAAATAGGAAAGAAATGGAGCGATTATTTCATTTGGTGAGGAAAGATAATTAGAGGAGATAGTTTCAGCTATGGTGGGGCCCATAACATTTTCTTTGTCCATGGTGGGGCCCACAACATTTTCCTTTCTCACTGTGGTAGTGTAGAAATGGGAGACATTTTTAGGTTGCTCTATTTTTACTATTCTTGCCTATATTTTGAGTTTGCAGCCATGTTTATTTCGAAATAGACTGTTACCCTAATTTCTAAATCCTTTGGGTTTGCACTTCAAACCCCAAAAGTAGGGTCCAAAGTCAAATATTTAATCTAATTATGGGGTGCAAAGTCCAAGCGGAATAAGCCCTTTTGGGACTTCAAGAAACGGACTGGAAGGTTTAAACACCCCGTGTGATAAAATTTCGAACTAAAAATAGGATGCAAAGTCAAATTTTCCCTAGTTTTAATAACGGATAACTTTTTACAACAAAATAAATGCAATTTATCACTTATTTCTCCACCACTTCTCTCTTATGTATAGTACTCTCCTATTTCTCTCTCCCTCTCTTTCTGACCTGTTTCTCTCTAGTTCTTCAAACCAAACAGAAAAAAAAAGGAAGGGTAAGTTGAGTTCGCTTCTGCATACGTAATGTCTTCGAAACCAGCATTACTGGTATCAACAAGTTCACGATATGATTGCGTGATAGTAATCATGAGAATGTTGAGATGGATGTGTAACAAACTAGAAAGAACAATAATACGAACCTAACTGTAAAAGAGAGTAAGAATAGCCCCAATGGAGAGAAAGAAGAGAGAACTGTTTAAATTATTTGGAGACCTATCAGAAGGTGTTAGGATAGTATAGAAACAAATTCCAAGAGAGGCAAAGAAAGACCTGAGTTGACTTGGTCAGATAGTTAGATTGGTCTTGTAAGTGTCAGAATTACAGAAAGATGACCCCACCTAGGGGAGAAAAGCTTGGAACCCATTTGGTAAGGGGGTTATTTGGCTAAAATGTCTGAATCTCCTGAATCTGCTGAATTTTCTGAAACTGGACAAGAGTTTTGTGAGATCCATTTCAGCCAATAAATCAAAAACTATTTATTCTGCTTATGAGCAAAATAAGCCACATTTGACTACCAAAAGGACCCTTAGTTTGGTTTAGTTCGAAATAAGCAGATTTTGCATGTAACACTCTCATATTAGATCCTCTTGAGTAAATAGTCTATTTTCATCTGTTATACTTGCAAGCATGAGCGGGTAACGGCTACCATATTTTCTGAAAAGTCAAATACATCGACTTGAGGGCAACCTGAGAATCAGATCTGAACTGAATTTAAACACGAGAAAGGACAGACAATTGCTAGTTTTCTTTAAAGACAGTACCGATGTAATAAAGCTTAGCTTACCTGCACAATTGCTGGTGAGGAAAAACCAAACATTTCCATGCCATCGAGGCTTCCGGGAGGCTGTAGAGGAGGAAGCTTTGCCCTTCCTAACTTATGCTGCTTACTGATCTCTTGATTCACCCTCTCCCTAACCATTTCCCAACATCTGACAGCCGATATATGGATAAACACTTCACTTTGGCAATGCTCCAATGACACCTGAAAATTAAATTATCAGTTTTGACTATGCTAGTAAATACTACAGCATTACGCCCCCTCATTTTCATTTAAATGTCATTTTAGGTGTCCATGCGCATACTAGAAGCAATAGTTATTCCTAATATCAAGATCAAAGTAGTATATATGACTAGAAGACCCATATCAATGTTTTACAGCACTATGAAACAATAATGGATGGAGAAGGGTCATCATCATCATCATTACCCCAATGCCGCAAAAAGCTCCCACCTAAGGTGGGTCGGTGGGATAAGGGGGATTCGGATGTACGCAGCCTTACCCCTGTACTAAATCACAAAGAGGCTGTTTCCGGATGACCCATGATGAAAATCACGTTGAAAATTGTATGGACTGACTTGCTTCATAACACAGAAGCGCAGACATAGTGAACCATTTTGATTTATTCCATCATATTCCATCATAGTGAAACTTTGGCTCCATTGCAAATGATGGAAAATGGATGGAGAAGGGAAATGGTGGAAATGACCAATTAATGCTCTCTAAATATTCTAAAGTGACAGTTATTTGAGAAGATATTTTTCTCTCTAAACTGACAATCAAAAGAGAATAATCAAAAGAGAACAGATGAAATTAAATGCAAGCATGTCGGAATGCCATAAATCACCATGCACTAGAGCTTTTTGCTGTATAATTAAGTTCAAATTCCCCTAATGTAATTTCCAAAACAAAACCTCTTATCATTTGTATATGTGTTTAATGATCACCATACACCTAATGTTAACACTTCAAAGATAAAACTGAATCAGAACTTTTTTACCAGAATCTAAAACTATATATGCAACCAATTTTGGAAAGCCTGACGAGAGTTACATACCCATGTTAAAATAGCATTAGTGGAGAAAAGGTATGTCATCGTTCTACCTCATTGCTCAGAGCAAAAAGAAAAGTACTCCCTCCGTCCCTTAAAACTTTGCCATCTTTCCTTCTGGGACGTCCCAAAAAACTTTGCCACTTTCCCTTTTAATCAATTATTTTGTGGTTCCTGTTATTTCTATCTCCTCTGCACAAACCTCAACCACACAGTTTTTACTTAATTATTCTCCGTGCCGGTCAAACTTGGCAAAGTTTTAAGGGACAGAGGTAGTATAAGCATTTAAACTTTGCCAAAATAATAAGACACGAGATGCACAAGGTGTACTTTATGAATTGGCACCAACCGTCCAGTTGTAATTAAAATGGAATACTAGTTTACCATAAATAAAGGTCCATCTCGTCCTGCATCCAGAATCTCAGAAACATAGTAGCACGTGTTTGATGGATCTAACACATCAATGTACCTGACACGGCTCCTAAATCCTGCACAATAATTCAATAAATAAGGATCAGAATTTTTTAATCACTTGCCGAAGATTTCTGGGAGAAAATATTTCAAGTATGGTTTACGGATCCTACCGTTGGGGTATATTGCCCGACTATCACACCATAACTTTCTATTATGTACAACTCCATAATTCAGTACCTCAACTTTGCAATTGATTCTCCTCACAACTTTTGCAATGCGGGGACCCTTTTGTCGAAAATATTTGTCCAAATTATTTTGTGAAAGAGATGACAAACATTGTGCGCCATCCATTGATCTTGAGTTTCCATCTACATCTATTTTTTTCAACACATCATCATTATTGGAGTGACTCCCATCTGGAAGCTTAAAATGGGAATGACCATCTACATTTTCCTCAATACAATTGGCATTTCCCATATTAACATCTTCATGTGAAGGCACAAGCACGTCTGAACACTGGTTTACTAGAGTGGGACTTTTAAGTATTTCAGATTGAACATTATCAAACTTCGTACCTCCCAAATCAACATTGTACTTTTCAGGAGATTGCTTCACCCCAGGAATTATCTTAAGTTCGCCTATGTCATCATCATTGCTGAGATGTATGATATCATCTTCAGAAATGGAAGCCTTCTTTACTCCAGGTTTATCTATACAGTTACCCACTTGAGAAAGGTCACCATTAGGAATTTTTCTATCAGAAACTATCTTTTCTGATAGTTCAATTGAAGATGGCATGTCATGCACTGTAAGTGAATCCAAAAAGGGACCTTTTTGCATTTCATCTCCCTTGTCCTTTAATGAGCCAGTGGTTGGTCTCTGATTTACCTCCTTTGGTATTATTGGAGCCATAGATCTGGATGATAGCCTATCAATAAGCCCAGGGGATTGGTTCTCTTTGGTGACATAAGAACTCAAAGACAACCCCAGATCTAGTCTTGCCCATCGGTATACAGCACTTAGTTTTCCTTCCAAAGCATCAACTAGTATGTTTAACTCAGAGATTTCATAACGAAAAAGAAAAAATTTAGCACCCCAGGAACAAGAACACAATTGTTTTGCATGGTTCAGGCATGCATATTTATCAGGTGAACAGTTGTGACACCCAGTTGCAGAAAGATGCAGATCAAAGAAGCATACACTGCATTCCCTCTCACTAGTGGAATCAAAAGTGCTCTCCATTTTAAGAGCTTGTGAGGATTTGCAAAGAAACTCCCTCCTCACCCGTTCCATTTCAATACGTGTCTGAAATTTAGTATAAATTGTCAAATTCGCAATTGTTTGGATCATTTGTAACAGTATGAAACTTAGGGCTTGTGTGGTAAAGGTTATTTGGGCGAAACAGTTGAATCTGCTGAATTTTTGTAAAGGAAAAGTGTTGAGTAACATTCATTTCACCCAAATAAGCAAGTCCAAAGTGCTTATTCTGCTACTAAATGGAGCCTTAGTATCCCAACTTTGCATAACTCACAATATCATAAAAAGAAGTCTGGTATTCAACTTTACAGGACCAAATGTGAAAGACAAGTTGATTTTTCTTTATAAAAAAAAATCAGCCAAATTAGCAAATTAAAAACTACATATTTTGCTACCAGTAGTGTTTCAATAGAGATCATAAGCAACTTCATAGTTCACAATACCATAATGGGAAGACTACCATTCCATTGTCGAGTCTTTCAAATTAAAGACCCATTTAAAAAAACTGCATTTCCATTATGAAATTACCCTACTGATGTATATACCTAATTACCTAGTATCTCCAACAAATCCTACTACAGTGGTCAATGAATAGATCAAAATTAAATTGTCAGTGACATAGATGTTTTACCTCACCACAAACAAATAGATTGAAGTATCATTATACTAACCTTCAATGACTTTGACAAAATCCCATCTTTCCCACAAACATCTCTCCATCTTAAATTATCTGAAGTATTCTTCTTCAGTAAACTAAGTTCCCAATGTGCTTTTACTGCATCACGTGCAGCCCCAAGTAATAGTTTATCATGAGAAATGGATGTTTTTCGGTTTTGACCAGAATAGAGCTCAATAGCATTTTGTCCATGGGGTAACCAGTCAACTGGGGCTACATTTACTGCTTCAGCACAATTGAAGCCACAGTTGAAGCCTGCATGATATGCTCTGGGGAAGGTCAGAACAAACTCCCCCGAGTTTTGAACACATCGGTAAACGGGCACTCCCTCAGACTTCAGTATGGAAGGCGAAAGTTGTGTGACCTGCACAAAACAAGGTTGAAGAGAAAAAAGAAAAACTAGATAGGGGGGACAAGCATTAACTCATTAAGGAAAACTAAAGGTAGGAATTCACATGAAACATGAAACCACTCAGCCAAGCAGTGGTCCCAGTGTAATATTATATCATCATAATCACCCTCATCACCTAATCCCAACTATGGCGCATTGGTGGCATGAACTCATATTGTCAATATATTCCTACAGTCTAGCACAATAAGTACTTCTACAAGAAGTCTTTTCTCACTAAAGCAATGAAAGTGCTTTTTCAAATGGCTCTAATATGGTGCTTTCTTACATTAAGTACAAAAAGTGCTTTCTAAGCATTCAAAGCAAAAGTACTGTTCAATCCTTCTTTTTAAAGTAAAAGTACTTTTTCCCTATATAAACCTCTTACGATGCGAAAGCAAGTCATCCGAAACGCACTCAAAGTTTTAAGCAGGATGTCTTCCTTAGCTTCCTGTCAAAACCTTCTAAAGAAGAATAATGAAATGAGATTCCAAAACCATCGTCATCATAGGTTTTTTCCACTTATATATATACTAGGATTACTAGCCTACACTAGGGTGAGTTGAGATTATAGTTATAGTTGTGTCCCATTGCAAAATTGGTTTTGCAAAATCAACATGGGCAATCATGGAGCATGACACCAAACATGATATTTTATAATGTGCTGAATACGTTGAGAGCCAACCATACCTGTAGCACTTATTACATAATTACATACTACCCTCAACTAAACCTAAAAATGATGTTAAGAGTTACATAGTCCTAGAATGACTTATGCTCACCAGCTTATGAAGCAAGTCAGGCTGCTCATCAAAGAGATCAGGCAAGTGTTTCCTCATAGCAGCTTCCAACTTCAAGGCATCTGCCCCAGGAATACCGTACCACATTTTTGGAGCTCCCCAATGCATGTAATTCAGCGAGTATAGATGGTGATCTTCGACATGCTGTAATATTTAAAAGAAAAATAAGAAATAATCACAATATATCCAAATGTCATCTCCATTGACAGCATCATGATCATCTTAACTTGATGTAACAAAAATGACTTTCATACCAGGAAAAGGTTATGATTTTCCTTACCCAGCAGAAAGAAGAAAAGCACATTCCTAAATACAGCCAAGGTACCAGAACACCTGATATATCACTGCTCTCATACGAAAGCAGTGAACCTGGAAGTCTTGGAAAGTTATTTAAGTTCCACCCGGAGCTTACGTATTTCATGTCCAAAGTAGAACCCACTTGATGAGAGCTTTTAGGAAATCCACTACCAAATGCTCCTGTTTCCAAGTCAGCTCCATAAAGTACCTACATTAAAACAAATTATCATAATACTGAAAAAACTGGTAACTAAATCTCATGAAAGACAGAGCATCTAAGTATATACTCCCTCCGTCGCAGTCTACATATCTAAATGACTACGCAGTGGACAAACAGCATATTCTTTCATATCCTCAAATATTCTTTTACAATTACATAGTTATACGACTACTTGCTTCATAGAACTTTTGATATATTATTTAAATATGTATGTCTTATTTGCCTATACTAAATTAAATATTACAATAAATATCAAATTCAAATTATCTTCACATTGGCCTCGTTGCGCAAATAGGTTAGAAATAGGGATGGGGTGAGTACTTTGGAAATAAACCAAATAGACACACACTTATATATATGCATACATACATAAATAAATACATACAGACATATGAGGAACTATACCTCAATCTCTTCAAACATGCACTTATATATACATACATACAACATACGAGGAACTATACCTCAATTTCTTCAGACATGCACATATATACATACACACATACACATACATAAATACAAACATATGAGGAACTATACCTCAACTTCTTCAGTAGGTTTCTCAACCATCCGCCAATATTCACCTTCAATATTCTCCACTGAGGGCTCACAAAGCCCTTCGTGTTTTCTGAAGTACTGGGCCTTAAAATCATCAGCATACTTCTGAAATAAATCAAGAGTGAACTCTGGACCAGGTTCAAATCCAAACCACTCAGAGTACAAAGTTGCAGCGTCACCACTGGGAACCTTGATATCACCACTACCACTGTTTTGATCTGCTGCAGCCTTGGCGCATCTTCTCCTTTTCTTCTTCTTTTGATGACTAATCTTAAAAATTTTACTTATTGAATCCCGATTCTGCAGTTTGTCTATCCTTTGTATTCGAGTATTAAATTTGGATTTTTCCCATATATTCTTCTCCTTGAGGGGGCACGGAGGTTTCCATGAAGCAGGAGGTACTATGCGGCAAATGCCATGTGCTTGAGCTTTGGGACGTATACTCGCAATATATTTTAGAGTATCTTGAAATTCCTGAACATCAGTGAATTGGTTGAGAGTTTGAGACAACTTCATCTTACAAGACACAAGAGGACATGAGAAAAAATGTAAGCTTATTGGTGTACTTGAAACAAAGGACATATATATAATATACTTATTTCTTTAAAAGAAACAAGAAAATGTACTATGTGGTTGAGAACTGTTAAACTTATTCTAACGCAAGTAGGCTCAAACCGACATCCAAATGGGCTGCCCCAAACAATAGAGTAGGGGGGCATCCAACAAACCAACATGAGACCAAGCTTCTATATTGTATTAAATTACGGTTAGCTCACCAAAAAGATTCTCGTAATGTAAGATTTACCACACTTATATGCTAGATGCAAGCCCAGTGGACAGTGAATATGAGATACTCAACAAAACCAAATAAAACTAATCATTTAAGGTTGCAACCTCTTCAGTAGGGTAGAACACTGGAGCTTCCTGAAGATCAGGCCTGCGAGCTTCTTCTGGACGGCATTGTGCAATTACCTGTTTAGACATCATATGTGGTTGAAATACTCTAAGATCATTCGCGTGACAATGGAATACTATAAACCAACCAATACTATATTTAAAAGTTTTGAGGGAAAAACTATAGAACGTTAACCTTTTGGCAATTCATACATGCTTCGCATCCACGGATAACCCCTTTAGGGAGCTGGGGCCTTACGGAGACTTTCTACAGGTGTGAAAAGGGACGCATAAGATGACTAATGAAAATTTTAGCATATAATTCAAAATAATATACTCCCTCTGAACCTTTTTATAAGACAACTTTTGCTTTCACACAAAACAAGGAAATGATTTAATGCATTTAAAATAGTCATTACTTTAATAATAAGCCCTTAAACATTTTAATGCTGAATATGTTTTAGCGTTTTTAAGACGGACAAATGTTGAAGAAAAAAATAAATGTGAATTGGTAATAGGGAAAATAATTTTACATAATACCAACTATCATCGGTCAACCAATAATTATGCATACGATATAAAAAACTACTACACACCTCAACTTTTGAAATGTATAATAATGATACGGAGCCACTTCCCAACCTCAAATACGGTCATTTAAATCATTAACAACTTTGAGCAAACCATCAAATGAAGCTTATTTGATGGTTTAAAATATTTTTAGATGGATAAAATGACCGGATTTGGTGTTAAAAATAGCTGTCATATATGTTGCATATTTGAATAGTGGGGTGTGAAATAGTTATACTTATATGTATTAATATTGGCTGCTCGGTGGTAAATGATATTATCTAAAGTTATTTTCCCTTGATAATATAAAAAAGATTATATTTAGGATCCTAATATGCCTTAAAAATAGGAGTGGGGGTATAACATTATTACAATAGTCACCACCTGGTCAAGGTCAGATTCATCTCCGGAACTATTCTCAACTCGGCCATTGTGTATAAAAAATCGACGCCTCATAGACCTCAACTTTTCATCCTCCACAAACTTGAAGTCTGTTTCCACCTTAGCTCTTTGACATTGCAATTCACTTGAAGATGCAGAGGAGATTCTTCTGTTTTCATTGTCTTGGGTCTTTTCCAGGGGAAAGGATGCAAGTGACTCAAATCCAGGGGGAATGGTAGACATATCTACAGTTTTTCCTTTGACGCAACGACTAACCAACTCTATCCCCATCAAAAGCTGTTTAAGCAATGAACGAAGGCCATGTCAACTAGCAAAAAACATTCACTTTCTACAAAGTGCAGCTCTCAAGCAAGATTTCCCTATTTTATGCATGCAATATTTCCCTGCACTATACATGCATTCAAATGGTTTATCTCATCATCATGACCACCTTAATCCAAAATACATAGGGTTTGGCAGTGTGAAATATATAGTGTAAATTAACTGCCTGAAGTTATTTAAGCTACAAATTCAAGCAGAAACAAATATGTGTTCTAGAGAAAGGATACCGGGATGAAATTCCAAAACTGTGATCATTATAAGTTTCATCTATTTGTATGGAAAGTATCATGTGATGGTGATCATGATAGGTTGAGATAAATTAGTCCCTGTTTGATAGCTACAGCCGGTGTATCCTGCTTATCGGAAGACTAGCAGTATAAGTAAATTTGGACCTATTTGGCTGAATTTGATGTGACCAACCACTCCTATCAGAAGATTCTACTCATTCATCAGGAGCCTTTAAACTCTAGGATCAAACTAGTGCAAGTGGGACATGCAGAAATGATTAACATATTATGCAACCATATCAGCAACATCCATACTATCACAGGATAAAAGTACTGCAACTAGAACCAAAGGTATGTCCTCCCTCCTTCAAGCCTCTCTCTATCTCTCTTTCTCCCCCTGCATGGCTTTTGCGAGCCCAAAAAGAAAATCAAATCAATTGTTCAAAAGCATCTCTCATAATTTCACATGTCATGACAACCAAATTACAGTCACCCGAGTATGATATAGAATTATCCACCATTACAAAAAACCAAACTGCTCTGATCTTGTTATAGTACTCTCTACATACTGCAACTAAATATTACAGACTCGGAATATGAAAAACGTATAAAGCACCAAATTAACTCAACAAACAAGCAGCATAACATTTCCAAGTTCAAAACAATACAGAAAATTATAATGGAATTGCTTGGAACTCGAAGTAACTCACGGATTTGTGTACTTACAAATGCATATGTGTTTGATCTAAGATCAGACTTTCCAGTGACCTAAAGCAGCTGAATCTCCAAATCACTACCCCTACATCACATAAATATAGGAAAAAATAAATACACACACAATATAATTATTCACATCCTACAATTTTACAAAAATGAGTGATGAGCAGCAGATCTGAGGCACCCTAAATCCAGTAAGTACACTAAAAGAGGATGGTAAACCCCACCAATTTCACTTCAAGGTCAATGCTACTACAGCCTCTTTTCAGTGGGACACCTGCTGACATTTACCAACATATCCTATTTGTAGTTGACCCGACCCGGATGACTCACTACATCCTCCATGATCTCTCTCAGGCTTTCATTTATCCACCTTGAAGGCTCTAAATTTTTCTTGCAGGCACATGAACAATGGTTAAAGTATTTTCTAAACTTGGTTAAAGTATTATTATGTAAGGCACCGAAATTGTTGGATTCTATTTGATCGATCCATAGAAAAGAAATAGTGTAAACCAGTTGGTAATACTTAGAGTAAACAAAATATTGGAAGAACCCTAGGGACAAGGAAACGCAATTAACCTTCATTTCATTGCCTGTTGTTAATTAATTATTAGCTCAACGAATCTTGTAATAATATCTATAGTTTCTACTTGGCGTTATTTATTATTACCATGCCTGACTTTTGTTAGGACATGATTTCGGAGTTTTATTCATTTTCATTCAATTGTGATGTATATTTCAGGTGTCACTGTTCACCTTTAAAAGAAATGAAAACATATATTCCGTAGTATTATAGCAGAATAAAATGTGGATGAAATTAACATTATCCATTTCAATTATTACCACATTAAAAAGCAAAAACATGAAAAATGATAAGTCTTTTTACTGTAAATAATTATAACTATATAATCAAAATATAAGTAGTGACAAAAATGTGTCTCTGATAACTTTAATTACTATAATTGTATTCAAATGTTACATTATAATGTCTACATAACTTACACATGATAACTTTTAAATTATAATCACATATTTTTCCATGGATTTTTTATTGGTAAAATTTTAGGAAAACCCTTTTTTTTACTATTTCAAATTTATCACTTAAGCTCCTATGTTAAAAAAAGTATCATAGAAGTATTTCTTACTTTAAAAATTGACTAATCCGATTATTTAATCGGTTTCTTATATGTAATGTTAGATTTTTTATATTTAAAATTTTAAAAAATTGTTTACTTTGAATGAATATAGTTAAAAATTATGAAAAGTTTCGGACCGTTAAAGTCAATGTTTGCATTCTTGACATTATTTGTATATTCTACATCTATTTACAAGGTTTTTACATTCCTTATATTTTTTAACATTTTCACTTTGTTTTTTCAATTTTCTGGTTTTTTATTTTAATGTTATTAAATTATCTATATATGTTAACATGTATATGATTATATTATTATTGCATGGTTTTTCAAAATTATATGAATTTTCATAAGATCTATCAATAGCCCTGATATATTTTCAAAAAAAAGTTGTTATAAGAAGTCAAAATGGCTTGATTGATTATATTTTAAAAGTAAGCGAACTTACATGATGTTTCTTTAGTAGGGGGCTTAAATGATAGATTGAAATAGTAAAGGGATCTATTTCATCTTTTTCCATTTTTTTAATTAAACTTTATTTTTTTGGCTTGGTCGATACATTCTATACGTATTTTTCAACTAACGAAGTCCAATATGGTTTAGCATTAGACTAAAATCAGTCCATATACAAAAATCCTCATAAAAATTAATAATACTTTGATGGATGGTCTACCCGGGGGTATATATCCGAAGGGTTACTACGGGGAGTAACTTAGAGAGAAGTCAGAGCAAGTAAGTAAGAGAGAGAGTGTATATTCGGTATGTATTAAGCGTGGTTACAAATGGGGAAATGGGGTGCTATTTATAGTAGCAATAAATGCCGGGCAGGGACACGTGTCAAGCGCTCATTGGCCGAGGGGTCACCTCAACTGGTTGGCGCTGGCAGCCGCATGTGGCCGCATTTAATGCGGCTGTTGGATGGGACGTCTGTGCGGGGTACGGTGATCTGTACGCATGTGAGGCAGATATCTTGTCGAGTAAGGTGCCTTCGGCCATAGAGCAGTAGCCGAGGGCTCTTCCTCCCGATGGCACCCCTGGTGCCGAGGGCTCACAGTGCTGAGGGCTTCGAGCAGGAGTGCGATGATGAAGACTTAGCCCTCGCCTGGCAGACAGCGGAGGATGAGGCACAGAAGGAGAGCTCGAAGGTTACGATTGCCGTTCTCCCCCCTCGGGGTTCCGGGGAGGCCAGTAGCTCGAGGCCGTTGGATCTGATACCTCTGAGGGCGGTTTCCGGTGTGAAGAAGAAGAAGGCCGCTACCAAGAAGAAGGAGAGGGCCGTCGATCAAGGAAAGCCCGTAGACATGCCCGAGGGGTACAGCTGGCTGAACACTGAGGCCCTCGAGATCAGGTCGAAGGCCGACAGGGCAGATCTGTACGTGACTCAGCTGCACGTGGGGCCCTCGGCCGAAGTGGTGGAGCCAGGTCCCGACGACGTGTTGTCCAGGGCGCCCGAGGGGTGTATTGCTATTCACGTCCTGTCGGTTTCCATGGGACTCAGGTTCCCTCTGCACCCATTCCTCCGGGAATATCTGCGGTTTGTTGGCTTGGTCCCCTGCCAACTCACGCCCAACAGCCACTCCTACATTGCGGGGTTCCTCCAGCTCTGCAAGTCCCGAGGGGTGAAACCCAGCCTGGATCTATTCTTCCAGAGCTTTAATCTGTGCCGGGGGGGGCACGAAAACGGCGAGGGGTACGCCAACCTGCAGCAGATTGCCCGCTTCAAACTATTCTCCGATGCTCCTTCTTCCAACAAAGGATGGAGAGAACGTTGGTGCTACGTGAAGTTGGATGAGAGCCCTTTCCCGAGGGAGCTACGTGACCGATTCCGAAGGCACGAAAAGATCCGGAGTGCCGCTCTCGAGAAAGACGGCCTAAAGCTGGCCAAGTTCCCGGAGGGGAAAGACAAGAACGTGGCGATCAAAGACTGCACCCTCGAGGAGGATTTGTACACCCTCGGGTTCCGGAGGTAACGCTTCATAGGGGAAACCGATGAAAAGTACCCTCCCTTCAACAAGGCCTTCGGAGGGGCCGGAGGTAGGAGCCGAGGGCTTTAGAATTTTGTACTTAGTTTTTTTTTTTTTCTTGGATGTTATCGTCCCTTCGCTTAGACCCGTCGGACTAACCCTTTGTTTCCTCTGTGCAGGTATCCCCGTCTCCATGGTGAATGTAAAGGGCCTTGCCCGTTTGAAGAAACAGGACCCGAAGGGGTCGGGACAGGGCATCCAGAAGCCCGCCACCGCCCTCTTTAAGAAAGCCGAGGGCGATGCCGCTTCCGGCAAGAGGAAGGCAGTGGCCAAGGGGTCCCCCCGGCTACCAAAAAGCCGAAAAAGGGGGATGTCGCCGGGAAGGAGCCCTCGGTCATTATCGCTGATGAGCCCCCCGCCTCCGGGGTGCAGGTGGAGAAGCTGCCGGTTGGAACGCCGGCGGGGGTAGAGGAGTCGCTGCCTGAGATCCTCACAGTTGCGTTCCCGAGGGGTATGTCTTTGGCCAGCGGCGCCGTCGACCCGGGGGCCATCCTGAGGGGTATGACCCCTGAGACGGATAGGGCTGCCCTCGGGGCCTACAATGATGCGGCCCTCGAGGACCACATTCTCCGCTCCTCCCTCTCTGTAAGTGTTTACCTGGCTTTCTTCATCTTCTCCTTCGATTATTTTTGTGTGATTGCCTTTAACTGTTTTTGTTGTTGTTCTGCAGGCTTGCTTAGCCCTCGGCGAACAGGCTCGGAGGCTTCAAGAATGGCGCCTCCACAGAGCGGAGCAGGACGTCAGAATGAGGGAGTGCCTCCTCAAGAACCAGGAGGCGGTGAAGCTGGGGGCCCAGCTGGAAGAGGAGCTCCGGCAGATGAGCTTGAAACTGGAGGCTGCAGAGAAAGGCAAAGCTGATGCTGAGGCCGCTGCCAGGAGAGCTGCTAAAGAGGCCGAGGACTCCAAAGCGCTAGCTGTCGCCAAGGCTCAAGAGGAGGCCGTAGAGGCCTTTGTCGCCGAGGGTTGGAGAGCCGAGGGGCGCAAGATGTGGGTGTCCTCGGTCGTGGAGGCCTGCGTCGAAGAATGGGCCGAGGGCCCTGGGTGGGAATGGATGGCCCGGAAGGGCAGAGAGTACTATGAAGCCGGCGAATTCTTCACCCAGGCCCTCATCTACCGGAGGATGGCCCGGCATTTGGGCATTGAGCAAAAGGACTTCTCCCCCTCGGCGTATGGCCTTCCCCCCTTGCAGCCTGATGTTCGTGAGCCGCTCCCGGAAGGTGTTCAGAGGCCCGACCTTGAGGACACGGTGTTGAAGAACGAGGCCGAGGACGACGCTGTCGAGACCGGAGCGGAGGCATCATCGAGGCCGGCTGTAGAGGGCGCCCCAGTGGACGATGCTGCCGTAGTTGTGGAATGATTTTGTACTTAGAAAACTTTGAACATCTTTTGTAATGAACAACATTGTTCCTTCGGCTTCGGCCCGTTTGTAAATTCACACTTACTCTTGTTTTTGATGAAATGCATGCTGCCTCCGGGCTTTTCATATTCGAATACGCCTTATGTTTTGAATGTATGCTTTCTCCTTTGAATGTATGCCTTCGGTATTTCTGAATGTATGTTTAGGACTTAGAATACTATCTGATTGTAGCTAGCCCTTAGGAGCCTTCGGTAGTTGGGCACCCTCTGCTGGATATGCAACCGATGGTTCGGCTGCAATTAGGACTTGGAAAATTTTTCTAAGTGTAGCACATATTAGGGCCTTCGGCTACTGTGGAGCCTTCGATGATGCACCCTCTGCTGGATATGCACCGAGGGCCCACTGCACAGGATTTAGAGATTTTTGCAAGTGAGTGTGTCATGTAGCCTTCGGCTACTGTGGAGCCCCACCTGTAATGTTGAATAGGCCGGGGGCTAAGTCTTTAGGACTTAGAATTTTTTCAAGTGCTGCTTCCTTGTGTAGCCTTCAGGTGCCCGGGGGCTGCTCCTTCAGGACATAGAATTTTTTCTAAGCATACATTGATGTTGACTCCTGTTGTTGTGAAGAAAGCCAATGAGGAGTGTGTGCCCTCGGCATACACTTTAAAAGTTGTAGAATTAGACCCTTGTCATGGGGAGAGGGCCCTCGGTATTTGTGCATAACAGATGCCTTTGGTGGTCGTTTGAAGTACCGTTTATTGGACCTTGGAGCCTTCGGTGTTTTTGTGACCGGAGGTGACCAGGTGGTGGACTTAGCCGTTTCCCGATGATATTTCCCTGAGTAGTATCCTTCGGGAAATAGGAGTCTTCAATGGCCGGAGGTGTTCCCGTGGGGAGCCCTCGGCATGTTGTGATTTTGTTGGAGTGTACTCTTTGATTTCTCGCTGAGTCTACTCCCCTTCACCCCCCCCCCCCCCCCTTTTTTTTTTTTTTTTTTTGGTTGGTGGTGAAGGGAAGGCATCAAGAAACTTGGTTTCTTGGTAAGGCTGGGCCTATTAGGAGACCATCAGAATACACCAATGGCTCTCCTCCC